ATATAAGGTACTTTTAATGAAGAAGCTAAATTTGATCTGTTGATGTCAAGGTCAAGACCTAAGAGAGCCAACATGCTGGGTGTGGTGGCACAGGCCTGGGATCCCAGAAGGCTGAGGCAGGAGAATTGTAAATTCAAGGCCAGAAAGGAAAACTAAAAGAGTGAACTTTCCTGAACTTATATCACCATTTTGTAAACACTTTTACATATTTTTAAAATTTTACTAATGAGTCTTCTCTACATTCATGTGCACCATTCTTTGACTAACCAGAAAATAGTCCTCTGATTAAGAAAAGGTCTGGTATTTTTCTCCTTTACTAACCAGTTAAATACTCCAATTCTAGAGAAATTATTGGTAGAAATTAGCTCCAGTACCTTTTTTCTGACTTAGCCATCAGTGCTGCCCACAGCTGAAACCACGGGCTTCCCCACCTGCCAGCCATACTCATTGTAACTCATTCATATCAAGTCTTAAAACCTCCACTTACAGACATTCCCATGCTTACATTTGTTTTCCCATGATATAGGCAGAGAAGGATATAAAAAGGAAATAAAATTTTGAAATAAACCCTTTGCCTTCTAGCTTTAATTCCTAATATAATCTTCTTTTCCTATGTTCTCTCTCCTTTACTTTCTCCACCCTAAAAACAACAACAACAAAACAACAATAAACAGTTTCCAGTATGTGTGTTGGTTATTAAGGTCTGACCTCATCAGACATTCTGGCTTATTGTTTCTTCTCCTTTTTTTTTTTTTTTTTTTCAAAGGAGACAAGAGAATTCATATAGCTTGACTTTAGGATTCATTGCATCACAGAGGAAAAACTGTCCTTCAGCCAATGAAAAGACTAATAGGCCTGTGTCTGCATTTTATATGTATTTTTTTACATTAGGGTTAAATTTCTAAAGCCTGTAGGGAGCAACCTTTGGGCAGATGTTCTTGCAGTTTTCTGTAATAAATTCTTATTTGGCATGCCACAGTTCACAGTATCCAACAAGGAATAGTAGCCTTAGCCTAATTGAGAGCTGGAAAATACTAAGATCGGTCCAGCAAAGTGGTGCATGCCTGTAATCTCAGTGATTGGGAGGCTGAGACAAAAGGATTGCCAAATTCAAGGCCCTCCTTGGCAACTAGGTGAGACCCAGTTTTTTCTTTTTTTTTTTTTTAATATAGTTCAGTGGTAAAGTGCTCCTGGGTTCAATTCCCAGTACCCACCCCAAAAAACTGTGTGTGTTTATTTAAGATCTCTTCCCATCTCCAATCTGCCTCCTCTTTTTTAAGTTGTGCAGCCATTACTACAATCTGTCCTCAATCTTGGTATACTAACAGTTACTACTTACCACTTATTATTCTGTTTTCCTGCCTTCTGATTTAGAAAGTACCAAATGCTTAGATCCAAAAATGCAAGAGAAAGATTAGAACAATAATTTTAAATAACTACTCTTACAGCTATTAATTCATTAATTCAACGGACTTAATTTGAATGCTTGCTATTTCCCAGGTACTATACTATATGTCTGGGATACAAAGATAATAGGGTCCTTTCCTTTAAGGTGCAGCGGGACAAGCAAACTCATAACTGGGTAATTACAGACAGTAATTACTGTACAGAATATTACAGGATTGTAGAAGAGAGGACTATACCTATCCTAGGGAGGAATTGAAGAAGACCATAATCTATATTATTGAAAATCTATCTCAATTGGCTAAATTGGGTATGAGAGAGGGTATTCAACTAGCTAACTTTATATTCTGGGGTAAAACATTCAATAACTTCAAAGTATATATATACACACACACACACACACACACACACATATATATACTTATGGCTAATTATTTGTGTGCAAAGAAGGGGGTCTAACATGAATAAGTGAGCATCAAGTTTGCAAGATTAGGACTAGAAGTTGTAGAGTATATTTTAAAGTGCTTTCCTTTTTACGTCCTTCCCCACCTATATCATGAACAAGCAAATATAAGAATTTAAATGCTTATAAGTAGAAGTTTTTAAATTTTTTCTTGCCAAGGATTTAGAAAGTACCAAATGCTTAGATCCAAAAATGCAAGAGGAAGATTAGAACAATAATTTTAAATAACTACTCTTACAGCTATTAATTCAGCTTTGAAGTTATTGAATGCTTTACCCCAGAATATAAAGTTAGCTAGGATTGGGAATAAATAAAGATTCCATTACCAGACTAGAGGAAGATTAGTACTGTTTAAGGTTAGGATAAGAATGCAAAAACAAAACAAAACCTACTAGATTTGCAACCACTTGTCCTCATATAAAACTAAAATATTAAAAAAAATACTCAAGGCTAACTGCATGTGAGGTTTTTTGAATTATGGGATTGAAGGGGTTGGCATAACAATTTAAATCTTAAAAAAAGTTTAGAGCTCAGGATGTAGCTCAGTGGTAGAGCATGTGCTTAGCATGCACAAGGCCCTGGGTTCAATTCCCAATGCAAAAAACAACAACAAAAAATTAAACAAAAATGTAATTTCTTTCTTTTTGGGGGGGGGATTGCTGGTATGGGACCCAAGGGTGCTTTCCCACTGAGCTACACCCCCAACACTTTTTATTTTTAATTTTGAGACAGTTTTGATAAACTGTGAGCCACCAAACTTGACTCAAATAAAATATTTTAAAAGTCCAATCTTGCCAGATGTGGTGGCACAGGCCTGTAATTCCAGCTAGTTGGGAGGCTGAGACAGGAGGATGATAAGTTAGAGGCCAACCTGGGTAATTTACTGAACTCCATCTCAAAAAGAGACATTTTTAAAAATGGCCAGGTATATAGTTCAGTAGAGCACTTGCTCAGCATGCACAAGGTCCTGGAGAATTGAACACACACACACACACACAAAGGTTTAATTTACAATTTCTGCAGTCACTTTCAATTTATAGTTGAGAGAATTGAAGCACTGAGATTTTAAACTTCCCCAAGATCACACAGTTAGTGAATAACATACCTAGGATTTGTGTCCATGACTGTTTAATTCCAGTGCCTCTTACCATCTTGCCCTGATAAAAACCTTGCCCTGATAAAAAACCATTTCTCTCCTGTTGTTCTGTAGCCATTAACTTACCCTGGCAGGGAGCTGGTATAGACAACTAGTAAAGTGGATGGCTGGGCCAGTGAAAATGGGCCACATTCAAATGGAAGCCACATTGCAATATTATGGATGCCACTGAACATATCTTAATCATTTTCATGCATATTTTATAATATATGGGATTAAGGAGATAAAACCAGATTGAAATAAATATGTAGATTTGACTAAAGTATTAATTTTATTAGTAAATTAGAAAAGAATAAATACATGTGAAAATAACTACATAAAAGTTAACTTTAGATGTTTACTTTTAAAATACTGATTGTGCATTATACCTGTTTACATAGCCTTTAATTCCATAGTATTTTTCATGTGCATGTGTGACATACTATCCATTCAATGAGACTATAATCCCTGAGAAATACAGTGTCTTTTAAAGAGAATAAACATTAAATCCATTGGTCAGGAAAGGTTATCTAAGCCTATTCTCAAATAGTGTAATAAATTTGAACAAGTACATTAGATTATGGATGCTTAGGAATGATATAAAAACCAGATTAACACAACGTGATTCATTTTCACTTTGACCATGAATTATATTGGGAGGAACTGGCTGCTGGATTTATATGTGTATAAAATGCCATTAGAGAGTGAAAAAAAGGGGAAGTTTGCTATAACTGAATAGGGGTGTGGTCTGTGTACACTAAAAGGAATAGATTATAGTTTCATAAGGTCTGATATAACTGTATGTTTTCCAGAACCGGCCATCACAGCTAGTACATTTTCTCCACAGACCTAAGCATGTCTATGAATTCCAGCCAACTTGGTGAGTTAGAGAAACCACAGCCTGTGGATTTGGGCATATACACTCTCTGCCTGCCTCTAATCCTTCGGGTAACAATATACCTACAACTCCTGTAATCCTAGAGCAGTTACATGGATGCACTAAGTGGTGTGATGGGAGGGAAAGATAGCATCACAAGGATTCGTTTGATTATAGCAGTAATCCACACCAAGTCAAATAAAACAGCCAAACAGTTAAAAATGGGGTCTCTAATGAATTTGCTAATTCTAGCAGGCCCTCACGAACATTTCCTGATAGAGTACCCCATATCAAAACGAAGGGGCCGTGCTTTAATTGCATGGAATAATTATTTGATTTCCAGGAAGTTAAAACAGGGCTTTGTATTTAAATAAAAAGTTCTAGACATGCTGTGAAACTCGAGCAAACCAAGAAAAAGGGTGAAACTCAATGCCTGCTCGGTGACTCGAGATTTCAGCTGCCCAGCAAGCCTGCCGCGGTGGCTTAGGAGCCCCAAAGAGGGGTATGTTAACGCTGGCTGGCAGGATCGGGTCGCCTTCCTAGAGAAACCCTTGCCTTCCCAGACACCTAAAGTGATATGCGACCATAGGCTGTTGAGGGGCTCGAGACTCCGCTGCCTTGCCCCCTCAGCACCAGCAGAGACCCCAGTTTTCGGGGGACAGGATCTCATACTGTCGCCCTTACCTTTGAAGGTCTATTAAAAGCCTGGGGCCTCTTATCTCAACGGCTTTGGGCGTGAGTGTGGGCTACGAAGGGGGGGGGAGGCCTGTGGGTGTCTCTTTTGCCTGAGGAGTTGGAGGCACTTGTGGAAAAGTCAGGCCCTTTTCGCTCCGGCGGCCGCTCCGGTGTGGGGCTGGCTTGGGTTAGACACATGCACACATACACCATAGAGCTCTGCTTTCCCGTAGCAGCTGCTGCCTCTGCCTCTGCCTCTCGCGCCTCAGCCTCTTTGCCCGGCATACACACACATTCAGATTTGCGCGCTGTTTCAATCCTTGATGACGTGTCCCCGGAGACAGCCAATAGCAAGCGGGCTCTGGTCAGGACAATGGGAGGTAACGGACCAATAAGCGAGCCCCGTGAGTTGGCGGTAGCCAATAGGAGCCGCGCTGGCTGGAGAGTAATGTTACAGAGCGGAGAGAGTGAGGAGGCTGCGTCTGGCTCCCGCTCTCACAGCCATTGCAGTACATTGAGCTCCATAGAGACAGCGCCGGGGCAAGTGAGAGCCGGACGGGCACTGGGCGACTCTGTGCCTCGCTGAGGGTGAGTCTGGGGCAGCGCCGCGGCGGGGAGAGCGCCTCTGGCAGCTCCCTAGCCCGCGCGGCGGCCGGATCCCCGCGGCCGGGAGCCGGCGGGTCAGGATCCACACAAAGGCAAATGAGGGGGGACCGTGGGGGGAACTGCGCACGGAGCGAGCCTCTGCCCGGGCGCCGGGAACGCTGCCCCGCGCCGAACCCCGGCCCACGGGCTGCCTGAGGCGCCGGGAGCCCCGCGCCCCGCGAGTTTCCACCCCCGGCGGCGTCCGCGCTGACTGGCGCAAAAAAAAATTTTTTTTTAATTAAAAAAAAAATTTAACGTGTTTTCGGCCCCCGGGCCGAGCGTTCGGGAGGGCGGCGTGCGCGGAGCGCGGCCGGGGTGGCGGGGCCGGTGGCGGCGGCGGCGGGCAGCGGCGGCGCTTCCCGGCTGCATTGGCCGCCGCCGCAGCGAGCCG